TAAGGTGCAAGCAAAACAACAAAATAATTGGTGTTAGAGAAGAAATTCAAATGCTTTTACTACCACATCATACAAAAGCAAGGCTAAACATGAAACATTGTAACATACACAATACAGACAATTAACTGTCAAAATCATTCTGCAGGAAATCAGTGGTAAAAAAATTATCAAGCTGCCAGACAGAATTAGAAGTTTTAAAATACAGAATACCTACAATGACAATGGGCACAAGATGAGAATCTATCTATAAGAAAGGTTATTTATCTGACTACCTGAAAAAAAAAAAAAACACGCAAGAAATTAATTTCCTATATGGATAGTGCATCCAGGTGCCACCTTTTCTTCCAGAAAGAGAGGGAACAGCCACTAGTCAGTTGGTTTATGCATGCAGTTAGAATAGAGGTGGTCCTTGGTTACTTTTTTAAAAAGAACTTAAACCAAGACACCCAATCCAGCACCATTATTTTTAAATCTTGTGTCTCAGATCTGAGGTTATTTTTTTCCCCCCTTTTACAATCTTCAGCAATAAAGAAAACTAGGAGGAAAACTTCTCCAGCACAGCAGACTCATCTCTCAGTCAACTGGACCAACATCATTCCTGTGTTGCTTGGCTGTCTTGTGAGTTTCAACAGCTCTGTACGTGCAAGGTCAGCAACAGGCACATGTTAATAATTGATTTTCTGTTTGCTTGTAAAAGGAGATTAAAAAAAATTTCATTTGGGGGATTTTTAACTTTATGAATGTAATATAAGCAAGTTCTAAAATAAAGTACCATTTTGAAACAAAAAAAATTGAGACGTCATTTGGAAAACAGCAACACTAAACATTGTGATGCTTTCAATATAATGGAAAAACGTCTTACATTAAAAAGAACACGTTTAACAAAGACTCATGTTTTTTAAAACGCATAGACATATGAACTACATCAACTTATTTAATAATACTTTTACCAATATAGTGTAAATTAACTTCTTTTCCTTTCAGTCCAAGATCACATTAAGCGTCTATTTTCTGCCATGAATAAAAAAGCTAAGCCACCTGCGGTCCCACAAGACATTTCATTTTTGTAAGAAAATGATCGATCTGGGATGGCCTGAATTTTCAGTTTCACTGACCTTGCATTTGACTACCAAGAAATTATTTATTGTGACCATTTGCAGCCATATTGCATCATCACTTCCAGGGATGAAGTAATCACTCATATAGTAACTTTATTTGAAGATCTGTCAGTGGGGAATTTTTAACCCAAGCTGTATATCCAGTTGATTTCAGAAAATGTAAATTGTTGATTCTGGGCAGGGCAGGGGGTAATAATCAAAATGTCACATGGCTTGAAGTCAGATAGGAAATCCGAGCAGATTGGATAATAATTTCTCTTCAGCTGAGGCTCTGCAGTGAGCTTTCTGCAATATACAACAGAGCTGGGCATCGGCCTTAAGAGCTGATCACTGTTTTGTGATTCTGTGCAACAGTTTCAGTAAGATCACGGCAATATCTCAGAGAAACCTGTGTGTAACCCACTGCACTTTGTTGTGATGGACAAAATCGAGGGCAGTGCAGTCCCATGTCACGTGCTGATTTACAAATTTTTACTAGGGAACAGAAAAAAAATGTTTGCTGGACAGATTAGCTTTTAACCAGTTAGGATTCTAAAGACTGCTTTGCGTTTTCCTCAGCAGTAAGATACAATATCCTACAACATTAATTGCACAACAGAGTATTATCTCTTTTCAAGACAAGAAATTGAGTCACAGAGAAAAATAAAATACCTGTGAGAAGAAGAGAAACCAAACTTAGCTTTAGACTCTCAGACCTCTGCCATAATTACAGGTCGTGCCACTTTCTTCTAGTACCTTGCAAATTATTCAGACACAGCTGGAAAAGTAGGATCATTTAGGGAGGGCCTTTGACCAAGAGTCAATTCCATCTGCATCGAAGATTTTTCCTAAGGACTATGACATGTGACTAAGATCTCCATTTCTTCATATATAAAATGGGGAAAATATTGGGAGGTGAACAGATAAAAAGTACTATTATCACTACCTACAATATCTTAGATTAGCATACCTTTCTTCCTGTAATGTCACTGGCAGTGGAGTAGAATACATACACAACCAGTAGGAGTATATCACTCTTGGATTGGGAATGGAGTAACAATTCACAAGGGCATGGACCAAAAAAAAAAAGATTATCTAATGTCCAGGTTATGCATATCTGAAGAGGCTTGCCTTGATTTTGCTACATGAAACACCTTCAGCTGTGCCTCTCTTATTCTTAGCACAAAATATATGTATTTTCCAAAAGGAAACATCTCATCCCAAGAAAAATCCATCGTGAATCTATGTCATGGTGTCATATTAGAGATGTCCCCTCTGTTTTCTCAGGTGGAAAGCAGACATGGATGTTTTCAACCCAAACAAAGCTTCAGCAAATAATTCCAGCTAAAAGAAACTAACCTTTGAAAGGTGTGTGCTACCACCAAATTCCATACAGTTGAGAATTTGAAAAACTAGCATTAGTTATTGAAGACAGCCTCAGCAAGAGTCCTTGAATATTAATTATGTTTTCTGCTACATCAGGAGCTTATACACAGAATGTGAATTAACAGCAGAAACAGCATAAACACACATTTGATTCTGAGCCCAACAAAGCAGTCTATTGACAAAATAACATGAGCTCATGTCAGCATTTTTATGTCAGACCACATGAAAGTTCAGAGCTAAGATGCAGATGATCTAGAATACTTGAAATAAACAGAAATAGTAATAACATCTTTCTACTATTTCTTGCAAATTGCTTGTCTGATTAGCACTAGAGGATCAAATGTTTTCCTGGAGGAAAGACCACTCATACTCAAACTCGGGAACGTTGGTTTTGGTTTGGTGAAGCTAAATGAGGGTCAAAAAATTTGGCCTTGTTAAAGAAAACTAGCTATAGAGAAACAAGCACCTCCCCCTCATAGGTTTATAAAATTCACATTCCCAGTACTCAGGAAATTTTAAGATCTACTGATATACAGGCAAACTGAATTCTGCCTTTTCTGTGATCTCTCGTAAAGCCCTTTCATTCCCATTATTTCCATGCCTTTGGATGGTAGAGCTTACTCTCTAGGTAATGTTTAACCAAAAGCTGATTTCAGCTAAATTTTGCTCTATTATTAGGGACAGAAATAATATCGTATATCCCAAAAGAGTGCACTGAGAAACTGAGCCCATTGTAGCTTTGCATTACTGTATTGTGATTTTCACAGGGGGGGAGGGGAATCATTAAAAGTTAATTTAGGCTAATGAATAATAACGACTACTACTTAGACAGAAATCATTAAAAAGATTTCTTAGTCAAATTCAGCAGGCACTATCACAAGTAAACTAATAAAAATATAAATAAGTCGGTATGCTTTAATTTATTATTATTTATAAGAAAGGAAGTACACTGAAAAAATTGTATACATACTAGGGCATACCACTGCAGTTATAATATCAATAGTAGGCCTAGGAAATATACAGCCACATAGTTTTGCTTGCTAACTTCTCAGGGCACTCCATAGTTCAGAATGCAGTACTATTACATAGCTATAGCAATCCATGAGATAATATTAGGTATTACTGTTTATTTCCCAAAACCTAGGTGGTCTATATTACATATTAAGCAATTACAAGTGCACTGCTAATATATCACTGTACATCCCCCTAAAAGGGCCATTCTAACCAGAAAGCTTTTTTTGGCCTCTTCTGCTTTGTGCATTCTTTCTTACACATCTGGCATTCTACACTCAGCAATTTGGAACAAAATTAACATTGACCTGGGAAATCCTAAACCTCTTAGAATAATTTCATTTACCATCACCCTTTTTGCTTCCCCCTAAGAACACATACAAGGGAAGGAAAGGCTTCTCTGAAACCTTTTGATCACTGATCAGAAGAGAAAGGGATAAATTCAGAAGAGAAAGAGATTTATAAAATTAACCTGCACTTGATACATTTTACTGATTCAGAACCTTGCAAAATTAAGTACTTACCAAGTATTATGAATCTGTCAACTGAATTCAGCTACAGAAGTACTTGGGGGGAAGTATTGACCATCTTCTGACATTTGAATCGAGACAGCATAATTTATTTTATAACAGTAGATTGGCCTTTGTAAAATAATGACTTTCAGACACTGATTAAGGTGCAATTTGACTGCTGTTTCCCTTCCTTTAAATTTAATTCTTATATTGAATTCTTACGTTGTAAATTAGAAGGGAAAGACTCAAATCTGAACGTGCTCCATAACAAAGGGAAGACCACAAACATTTCTTTCCACATATGACACATAGCTCACAAAGAAAACTTTTTTGCTGTTAGGTATCTGCATGATTTAAGTAACTAACCCTCAGGCAAATGAAAATTCCATTACTCACTTCAGCAAAGCATCCTTCAATATATCTGTAAATACAGTTTGCTTCCATTTCCAAATCATTTTGGACTGTCAGAATGAAGTAAAGTAGCTTTAGGGTAAGCAAGATTAAAGGACAGGAGTTAGACAAATGGTAATAGGGTCAAAATGTGTCCCTCGTATAACCTTGGATGTTTTTAAAACTTACAGGTACTAGAATTGGATTTTATCCATTAATTTAAGGACAGCACAACTTCAGCATTAACATACATCCCTTTGTTTGAAAGCCAGCACTTCTGTTTATATTTGGTTACAAGAACTGATTTCAAAATGAAAAATATTTTCTTAAGTATTTTTGCCCATTTCCTGGTACAATCAATATATAGCTATTATTATTAAACATATTTTTATTCTCAAGCGGCTATTTTCAAAGATAAGGTATTTGTGTTCAGTCTGACCCCCCCTCAGTTCAGAACCACTGCAATAAAAAAAAAAAAAGAGAGAGAGAGAGAGAGAGAGATTGTCACAAATGCTTTTTAGCTGACTTCAAAGAAAAAAAAGATCCACGTGGAAAAAGAGTGAATAAAATAGGTAAATTTGCTCCAAAGGTAAGTGAACTATACCTGAACGCATAGCATCTTTTTGAATGCTTTCATAATCATGCCAGTCCTTCCTTTTCAAGCCATCTGTCCAGGTGAAGAGTTGTCCATCTCCCATCCCCAATGGAAGTGTCTGTGGAGGGAAAAAACAAAAACAAAAAACACACACATATATAATAAAAATGTATGTATAGTTTGTATTATTACAGAAGAACATTTATAATATGGCACAAGCAATCAAAACTCCAATGCAAATATTGAAACTAGTTTGTGGTAAGTGAAGCTATTGTTCCAAACACTGTGAGAAAACCATGCATTTGTTTCTTGACCAAATAATACAAATATGTCAAATACCTCATGCTTAACGCTTCTCTTTACAGTAATGTCTTGCTATGACTGCTTGGCAAAGAGCTTATGGAAGTTAAATGGACCACTAAAACAGAACAGGTTATCAAAAATATCTCATCCTTCAACTCATGAAGTAACTCAAATTTTTTTTTAAACCGTCATTTGTGCAAAATTAGAGTTCCAGTTATTTAGGGTGTTTGAATGATCTCCTTCAGGATTTTGTTTGTTTCTTTTTTGTTTTGTATTTTTGTAATAGCCAGTGATAAATTATTGGTACTCACATAAGGCCTGGCTCTTTGCATCAGAGGG